ATCCAAATAATCTAAAAAGAATTTAATTATTTCATTTTGATAGTTTTGACTTAAATAAACAGAAAATCTAGATTTATTTTGGAATGGGTAACTCCTAATCACATGATAACGACCGTTTGTTTTTTGGTTAAATATTATTTGATTAGAGTAAGTATTTAAAATATTTTCGGTAATTGGTATATTTAATATTGGATCTTCAGCTGCTGAGTGTACTGTCTTACCAGTATTAGGAATATTTGGCGGTTTAATTTGAATGTCCGAGATGATATTAATTTTTGGAGTGTTTACATTTTCTAGAGGGTTAAACACGTCTTCAATTTGTTCCAATTGTTCAAGGCTTATATTTTGATCTTCTTCATGTATGTATTTATCGATATCTTCATTAATATCTCCAGGATTTCCGAAAAGTGACTCTTTATCTATCATATTTAGTTCGATGCGTGATAGGGCATCAGCGTTAGTGTTCAGTTTGCCCTTCCTATAATGAACTGTGTAATCATACTCTTCCAGTTTTAGTCGCCATCTTAGCAATCTGGAATTTGGTTCTTTCATATTAAACAGGTATTGTAGAGGTTTGTGATCGGTAACTATCACAAATTTTCGGCCAAATAAATATGGTCGGAAATATTTTGTTGACCACACGATTGCTAATAATTCTTTCTCTATGGTTGAGTAATTGCTTTCAGCCGGGTTCAATGTCCTAGAGGCAAAGGCTATGGGAAGATCACTACCAATTTTTCCTTGGCTGAGAACCGCTCCTATAGAAACATTAGAGGCGTCCGTTGTCAATATAAAAGGTTTTTCGAAATCTGGATATTGTAGTATTGGATCATTGCACAAGATATTTTTACAAAGATCGAATGCTTCTAGAAATTCTGGCGTGTGTTTGATGGTCGCTCCTTTCTTTAGGCAATTTGTGAATGGCTTGGTGAGTTTTGCAAATCCGTTAATAAATCTTCTATGGTATCCTAGAAGGCCTAGAAAAGATTTTATGTCTTTTGCTGTTTTCGGTACAGGAAATTTCTGGATTGCAATAATTTTCTTGGGATTCGGTTTAATTCCGTTTTTTGTTATTATGTGACCCAAAAATTCTACTTCGGTTCGTAGGAATTCCGTTTTATCTAGTTGAATTTTTAGTCTAGCTTGTCGCAGTTTTTGGAAAACAAGTTTAAGATGTTTGATGTGTTCTTCTAGGGATGACGAAAATACTATGATATCGTCCATGTATACTAGACAAACCTTTCCCTGTACATCACGCAAAACATTATCCATGACGCGCTGGAATGTCGCGGGGGCGTTTTTCAATCCAAAAGGCATTCTAACAAACTCAAAATGACCATTCTCGACACTAAAAGCTGTTTTTTCAATTGATTCCGGATCCATTTGATGATGAAAACCAGATGAAAGATCGATAGTTGAAAAATAATTACACCTTCCCAATTTATCGAGTATATCATTTATATTAGGCAATGGATAGCGGTCGTCTATCGTTTTCTCATTTACCTTACGAAAGTCACAAACAATCCTCCATTTTTGCTTGCCGCTGGCGTCAGGTTTCTTCGAGACTACCCAAATGGGGCTGCTCCAAGGGCTTTGGCTATGTCTAATGATGCCGTCGTCTAACATTTTATTAATTTGCCGTTGAACTTCCTCTTTATGGATAAAGGGGTATCTATATGATTTAGTGTATACAGGCAATTCATCCGTTGTTCTTATACAATGTTTGATTTTATTGGTGAATGTTAACTTTTTGTTTTCATGATGGAAAATATCGTTATATTCTTTACAAAGCCTTATTATAGCAGATTTTTCTTCTAAATTTAAATGTTCGCAACGAATTATTTTGGAAATGTCGCATTTACTAAATTGTTCTTTATGTTTTGGTAAGATGTGTTCTAAATTAAAAAGTTCAAAATTTTCTTTATGAAAGTCCGGAAAAGATAAAACTTTTAGAGGTTGTGGGAAATTTAACGTTATATTTTTCTCAGTGTAATTAAAAACTTCTGTTTGCGCAAAACCTTTTTTGCAGTAGTAAGTGTTTCTGGAAAATAGAGACCTTCAATGACTTGCTCGGGAATAATAACATCATTGTTTTGTGTTACTGGAATTCTTACGTTAACAATTTCGTGTGCATTCACAGTAATACAATATACTTCGTTTTGTGGTTGTCTAAATAAAATTGGTATATTAGTTGTATTATTCCTTAATTGTTTATTAACAAGATCGATAGAAAAATTAAAACGTTTTAGGTCGTTTAATCCTATTATACCGTCAAAGAATTTATGAAAGTCAAAAAGGATAAAAGATAGGTTGGTATTAGCCTTTAATTCTGGGAAAGCCGGAATATCTGCTTTAAACAGAGTTTCCTTTTCACCAGTTCCTGTTTTAATAATAGTTGGGGAATGATATATTTTTTCATAATAAAATTTTTCTGCAATGGAAGGTCGAAGAATCGAGTGAAAACAACCAGTATCAATTAAAAGTTTAATTGCGGGTTCTTTAATCTGGATGTACGGTAAACTATTATTAATTTCGGTATACATTTCTAATGTCATTTCGTTGAGTCGCATTGGCTCGTTATTGTAAAATTTTGAGAGATTTGATTTTCAATTTCAGGGTGTTCGTCAAAATTTTGAGTGTCATTAAAGTATTCAGTTTGATTTGAAAATTCAATTTCAGAGTATTCGTCTTGGTGAATATTTTCATTTTGAAATACCGCAGATGTTTCATCTGTTTGTACCGCGTTACTTTCGTCGATTTGGTATAATTCTTGCGAAATAAAATTTCTAGGGCCAGTAGGTTTGAAATGGTTAATTTGATTATTTTGACGTGGTATAGTATAGTTTGTTCTTGTTGACATAGGTTCGGGTTTATTGTTAGGTATCTGACCTGTCGGTTTAAATACGTTTTTAGGTGGGCCAAAAACTTGCCTATTTGTAGGAAAATTTCTTGGAACTTCGCGTGGTTGAGGCATATTAATTGGACCTCTGGGAAAACTATTAGTCTGGGGAGTAAACTGATTTTGATCATGCCTAATTCTAAAATTTTGATTATGGTGATTATTGTTTTGAAAATAATTTGTAGGGCGAATCGGTTGTACATAATTAAAATTTTGGTTACTAAAATAATTTGGATTTTGTGAAAATTGTTTAACGGGTTCGATAGAAGTATTAGGTAAAACTTTTGATTGAATTGGAGTTCTGAAGATATTTTGTGTATATTGAAAATTTTCCTCTTCAATAATTTGGGTCATAGCTAATTCTATACAGCTCGGATTTTTAAGTCTTATAATACTTTGTAATTGTCCTGGTAATCCTCTAATAAACGTCCTTAAACAAATTTGATCGTATTGACGTAAATGAATTACTTTGCTTGCATTATCCATAGTATCGGCAGGAAATGCATTAATTTTTTGAGCAAGGATACTTCTTAAAACTTGTAATCTTTTCCCAAAATCTAAAGGATGTTCATTTTTAAAGGGGGTGGCCATAAACAAATCCTGTTCTAAACATTCTAAGTTTCGTCTATCGCCAAAACAATTTAACAAAGCTACTTTAATATTGTCCCACGTTACTAACTCCATTCTACAGCCTACTAGAATTTGTGCGCGATCAACAAGTTTCATTCTTATAGTTCTTAACAAATATTGTTTTAAAATTTCGTCGTTTCCTTGACCATATGTATCAAAAAGGAAATCTCCAGCTGATAGAAAACTATTTAAAGTGTTGGAATCACCATTATATGGCAGAATACTATCTATAAACATTTTTAACAAAGTGTAATTTACACCTGAATTCGACGATTGATTAGAATTCATTTTCAAATTGATTTGACTATTCTCTACTTTCTTTTCCACTAAATTTAACGAAGTAAAAAACGCACTTAAATTGTCGACGTCTTTATCTTCATTCATAAATTTAATTGATTTTGAAATTTCTTAAAATTGAACTTAAAACTAAGAATCCTTAAAATTATTTCCACCGTCCTAACCAGGGAAGATGAAAGGAGAACAATAGGAATTTTGGGCACTAACCTTGATTTCTCTTAGTCGTCAGCCTATTCTTCCTATTGGAATTTTCCTTGCGTAGCACTGCTTGCGGGGGTGATTTCTTGCCTTCCTTGCCCTCAGTCGAACTCAATCACGTTGGGTTTGTCAGACAGTCTATCACAGGTTCGTTTTGGAGTTTAAGGGTTGAAACCCACGTTTCGCAATCAAATCGTCCCGATGACGTGGCTTTGACCGAAAACTACCCCAAATCCGTCACGACTGCGCCAGTTAAGGTTTTCTAACGAAGGATCTCGTTTTTAAAAAACACTTTTTTATTTTGCAAACAGAACTACGAGGTTTTCTTTAACCCGCTACAAGGAGAACTGAACGCAAAGCACAGAGTTTTTATATATATAAAGTTTTTATGCAAGCGTCGCGTCGCAGATACCGGATATACTGAAGCTAGCATTTCATCAGCATTTTCTATCACATAATTTGTTGCATACTACACTTTTTCTACGTCCGTTAGTTTTTGGGTACATTTTCGCAAAACAACAAGAAACATTCACTGACATGACCGTCAGAATTGACAAATGTCAAAATTCAAGTCGTGCAGTAAAATCTCCGAAAACATTCGATTGCTCCCAAACCCGTGCGGTAATATCCGGGAATTTTTCGAAGAGGTTGGGATCCGTGATCACGTGACGCTTCTCGCATGCTAGATCGGTATATTATTAGATATTTTAGAGAAGGGAATAGGAAAAACTTTTATTGGGATTTGTTTTTTGTTTCATAGTATTGGTTGAACAGTTACAGCGCAATTAATTTCCCAAATTTTAATATAACGCTAATGAGTATTCGCAGATCCGGAAAAGTAGAAAAATTATATATATTTGGCTAACGCGATACGAAAGACGAAAATGTTTACTGATAAACCGAAATATGTCATCTAATCAGTGTCCTTATAAAATATATAAAATCGGAAACTGCTTTTACTATCCGCAATAGCGAGAACAATTATGCATCGACTTCTCAGCTTGATATTTGTTTCTGCCGCGGTAAGTCACATAATAGAATGCATTTTAAGCTTAACAGTTAAGCTTAATATACATAATATAAAAATAAATAAAACTGGTATTCGCTAAAGATTCAAACATGGGACTGACTTGATTTTGGGGTAATTAGGAATGTTAGTTACTGTAAATCTGAATCTCGCGATACGTGGAATTTCTTATAATATAACTTAGAATACGTAGAAATAGAAAAATATAAGACGATGGATGATATATTCAAAAATTTTATTAAAAAAAATGTAATGTAATTTATTTTGGCATTCGGTTCTGCTTTTGATACTTATAGGGCTACAATACTTGTTTATTTTTTAGGTCTATATATTTAAAACTAACAATTGGTATTGATATAAAATAGCTTTGGTTAGTTTGGGATTACCATTAAGTTTTGGCTGATGGGCAGTATTGTTATGTTAATTTGTGCTTTGCTTATCCTGATTATGTATATTATAATTATGTAAGTGTTATTGCAAAAAATGATCGGAATTTTGATTGCCCTTATATTTAATGACTATATGAAAGTTGGGTTAATAAATAATTACAAACCTGTAGTTATTTATTTAAAAAAACAAGCTCATTGCAGTGGTAGTTAATGGAAATTGGTCGTAATTTAACTAGTATTTAGTTGTAATTTCTACAAATCCTAATTTAGTGTACGCAGTAATATTTTGACGATAGAATTTACTTTTTGAGAACGTTTTAATTACTTAAAATGTTGCCCTATTGAAAACCATGGATTTTAACACAAAATCTATGGGTTTTTCTTACCATGTTGCTGTTTTAACTGGCAATCTACCTAAAGAAAATTTAATTACTTTATTTTTTTAAAAATCATTAAAAAAAATTCAATCAATCAAATCATCATCAAAAATTTACTTTCGTTAGTTAGTGCAAATGATGATATGCGTGGAATTGTAGCCTAAACTAGCTTCTTAATATCCCTATGTTTGTTTGGATTTTTTCAAATTGAACCGCGTTAGATATAATTTAAAATTAAAAATGTTTTCGCTTTCACTAATGTGAAATTATCCCACCTTTATGGAAGGCAATGTATATAGTTGCTTCCATTGACAGATACGTTTTTGTTTTATATTATACGTTCGATGAAAACGTGTCTTTTTTGACAAGCCAATGTTATCTGCGTTGGTAGTTTTGTTGTTGCTTTCACCGTAAAAACGCATACTAGGATGTTAATTTTTTTAAAACTAATTTTCGTTTTAAGTTGGGGGCCGATTTAATCGTCGACCTTCCCGATGGTACAATCAGGGGATCCGAAATCACCTACGATAACAAGAGTTACTACGCTTACCGAGGAATTCCCTTCGCTGCCCCTCCGCTGGGAAAATTAAGATTCCAGGTAAAATAGATATCTATAATCTACTAATATAATTATTATTATTACGAAATATCTGACCGGAACAATGTAAACGGGGCTACTAATTAAAATCACACCTGCTTAATGGGACTACTATGTTTATAGAATCAACAACGTATACGAGGTGTGTTCAAAAAGTAAGGCGATTTTTAAGTTTTATCAAAACCCCCTTCAAAGCAATCCCTCAGATATACCACACTTGTGCCAACGTTTTTTCCAATACTTTATCTCCTCAGTCGTCCAAACCAAAGTCGCAGAGCGCCATATCCGGTGCATATGGTGGTTTTGTTTTTGGCCAAAAAGTTAGACACAAGCAATCAAGATTGAGCAGGTGTAATGTCGTGATATGAAACACTTTTCGAAACATGTGTACCAACAGAACAAAAAAAAATATCGAAGAGACGAATGTAGCTTGTCCAAATACAAAAAGTTACCTTACTTTTGAACACACCTCATATATATGCTATAAGACAAAAAAGAATGGTAAGTCTAAAATCTAACACTAAAAGTAATCAATAAGAATGTCGCGCGATTAAAATAAAAGTAAAATGGGTATATGAAACATGAACAAACAAAATTATGTAAATAAACCAAGTCATAACCAAAGCAAATCAATTCAAAAATCAGAAAACAAAGTATTCCAAAATAACTTTGACCAAAAGGAAGTGTATAAAATAACGTGAACAAGCACACAAAAACTATTAATAAGACAAAGTAGAGAAACATTAAAATCGAACAAAAAAGATTGACAGGTATAAAACTGCAGAATTAAAACCATTTAAAATTAAAACATGAATTACTTCGTATTTATCAATGTTCATAAAAACTTTAACGTCTTTGAGTGTGTAGAATGTATCACTAAAAAGTAAAAGGTTAAATAAGTATCTACCCAAATTCTTGTATGATGCTTATTTAGTAGTATGTTGTGGTAGTGAAACTAATTTAATTTTATTTTTAAAAGACATAATTTTAATATAAAACTGAAGCATACATTAAAAATCACTGTGTCTTTAAAAATTCCCCTAGATGATTGTCTGTAAGGGATAATACAAAGCAATCTTAGTATTCGCTTCTGAAACCCAAAAACTCTCCTCCTCCTCCAGAAGATTAGCAAAATCCGACGTTTCAAGAGAATGTCCCTCAAAATCAAACAAAACAGTTGGGACTCCTGTACCTATTACATACCTCAACTACCTCAGTGATTCAACATTCATTTATAAGCTATATAATATGTTCATTCAAACACTGTAATACATTAATTTTGCCGGTTCTGATAGTACTGTGGTATTATCGCAATAAACCGGACGTTGTTAACTCACTCAAAGTGATCGTTAGTAAGCGCAATTTTGCGTTCGCAGGCTCCAGTATCTCCTCAGCCGTGGGATGGTATCTTAGAGGCCAACCAAACAAGCAGTTGTTGCATATCCATGTCTCCGAGCATAGAGGAAGACCGGCAGGATGAAGATTGTTTGTACCTCAACGTGTACACACCTCCCAGAAAGGCGAGTATTAGTGATTCTAATCAATTAAACCCTATGCTGACTTTCTACATAGTTTTTTCAACCCCTTTTTAGATCACAGAGAAGTTGCCGGTAATGGTAATGATATACGGAGGTGGTTGCAGCACCGGATGCACCTCCGATGTTTCCTCTGGGCCTTACTACTTAATAGACCAAGACCTAATCATCGTATATTTCAACTACAGGGTGGGATTGTACGGGTTCCTGTCCACCCAAGACGACGTTGTTTTGGGCAACGCTGGCCTGAAAGACCAGCTGCTGGCCATGAAATGGACCAAGAATAATATCGCCCTTTTCGGAGGAGACCCGGAACAAATAACCCTTTTTGGGCTAAGTGCAGGTGCCATTTCGGTGGGCGCGCATATCGTCAACACAAAATCGGCTGGGCTGTACAGGGCCGCCATTTGCCAGAGCGGCTGTTCCCTGACTTACATAGACATCACTAATCAGAACGACTCTAAGAAAGCTGCTTACGACTACGCGAAATACGTCGATCCGACGATTTCCGAGAAAAATACGACTAAGGAAATTCGCGACTTTCTGCAAAGTGTGCCAGCTGACGTGTTGACTCCTGCGTTTAACGCAAATAAGGAGGTAAGTAGAGAAAAGTAAGCCGCCTTTAAGCAAGCGTAGTGGTCAGCTTTTTAAATAATTTTAATCAGTGGAGTCTAAGCTAGAATAAAAAAGGAAATTTTGCAATAGAAAATGGCGGCTAGTAATGGCGTATGGCCTTTGTTAAATTACTTTATTTTTCGATTCTTATGCATAGGATAGTCACTGAAACACAACATTTTTTCTCTTTTTTTTATTTTTCCTGGTAACTCTATCCAGCTAAACTGTCCAAATAGTTCCCATCGTTTTTCTCTGCATTGACGCAAATATTTGTTCTCCGAGTGTAGTTTTCAGATGAAGTAACAAAAAGAAGAAGAAGAAATATTCACACATCAATCGCTTCTTCTGGCGTGAAAAATCGTTGCTCAGAAAAGAAATCATTAGGTGTTAAATCAGGACTGGTGGATGGCTCATCAAATCAACGTTTTTAATGCTCAAAAAATTCTTTGTTTGCACTGGTCGGTGGGAGCTAGCATTGTCGTTTTGGAGAGTAATTCGTCTTGGGCAGTTGGTTTCTCTAATTTCTTCGAAGACTTTCGGCAAACAAATGGTTGTGCACCATTCAGAATTGACGGCTCTACCTTTCACCAAAGAAACAGTTGCAATGTGGCCAGTTTGCCTGAAAAAACAGGCTGCCATTTTGCACACGAACAACTTTTGTGGGCTTTGTCTCATTCTGAAAGACTCACACAGTTGACTGGTGCTTACTTACAGGTTCACCTGTCACGATATCATAGACGTGCTTGGAAGCGTTTCCTTTGACCAATCAACACCAGCCTTTTTTTGAGCTGATGTCAAATTGTCTGGAATCCAATACGAACAAATTTGTATGTATGCGGGTCCCACCAGTACCCATAGATACCTCAATCTCATGGATCCTGCAAAATCAGTTTCCGCACTGAATCAATGATTTCTTGGACTACCACCGATTTTCGGCAACCTTCGCGAAATTCATCCCCAAGGAAACTACGACCACGACTGAAGTCAAAAAACCAGCCTAAACAGTAGTCCTAGATGGTGCTTTAACTCCAAAAGTCGAATTAAGTTCATCGATGCATTGTGCTTGACTAACTCAACGTCCACTTTTAACCGTCACATTTTTTTTAATTTATCACAAAAAACACACGTAGTCTTTCGCCAAAAACTGAGTCAACCTAACCTCAAAACGTAAAACTTCCCGATAAAAACGTTAGTCGCCAGATGGCAGCACCATGGAAAAGTAAATTTTATAATGAAAAAAGGCGACTATTAATAGGGTCCGGTCTTTGTTCAATTACTTTATTTATCGATCCATACGAGGGCCACTTGAAAAGTTTTCGACCCAAGTCTCTTCCTGGAAAACCACGGAATATGGCGTGAACTTTTATTCCTGCAGCAAGAAATAGAAGGTCTTTTTGTGATACCTATTTCCAGGATTACTGGCACACATAAAATAAATTGAAATACTCCGATGGGGCTGCGTCACCTTGAAGATCATGCTCGGGTCTATATACTTCAAGAAATTCGGTCGTATTTGCGCTACTATCGTACTGTGTGTGTGTGTCCGACATTTTCAAATCAAAATTATTATCAATCGCTAGAGCAGCGCGCACTAGGAGGGTTAAACATAACAACTAACATAATCTGTGTTTCAATTGGATTATAGAAATATACGAATACATCGCCACTGCTTTTGCCGAAATCATTTTCATTTTAAATCAATTTCCTAAAAAATAGATCTCCATTTTACTCGAAACTTTAATTACCTTGCCGCTTGCGTTTCTTCGTAACTATTTAATAATAAGTTAAACATTTAGACAGGTCTTGTCATTGAGGTCGAACACGAAGATGCTTACGTCACAAACCGCAGTTTTCCGTTATTAGAGTCTGGAAATTTCGTTCAGGTGCCTCTAATACTTGGAACTGCGTCAGCGGAAGCGCTCACGTTCTTTGCATTTACGGGTGGTAAGTTATTAATCTGGATTGATTATTAAAATACAATAGCATTTTCAATAAACATCTAACGAAAAACTGGAAATCAAAATTGTAATATCACTTTTCAAATGAATCTGAAATTTTAAGAAAAATCTGTAACAATCTTTATTATCAATTTTAATTTGATACCTTTTGTTCACATAATTGTTTAGATTTTATTTCACTAACAAAATATCTTCTTGCTTTTTTTAAAAACATCCAGTTATATAGTTTTTAGCAGCATCCCAGTGGAATCAAACAAAATTCCAAGTTCAAAAAAAGCAACCAATTAGTGTTTAATTAAAAATTAAATCTGATTAAATTAAATTAAAATTATTTTTAAATATATCCAACCCGTTATTTTCACTTCTCCACTGTGCACTGTGGCCTTTCCTTTTAGAGTTTTCACAGAGACGTTTAATTTATAAGAGTTTCTCTTCTTTCTCTACTTTGGTGACCGGATTGCTGCATTTATTCTCGTGTACAAGTCGGTATACTATATTTTCGCAACTCTGGTGAAGAAGAACACATTTAGGATAAAAATATTCTCATTTTTTAAATGCGCAGATTGACAAATTTTGAAATTCAAGTTTTAAACAGTGAGGCACAGATCTGAGACACACCTGTTGGTCTACCTGCCACTCTAGGGACTTGTGACAATCGTCATAGGTACAATCTAACACAGCAAGGATCACTAATATTTACAGTTTATTCAATGATGATTTATAACTCTTTCGCATTAGTGTATTGACTGAGAGAAAGCAAATATACTGGGAAAAACGAATAAATGCTTTTTTTTATATTATAGGAATTCCGATAATCGTTGCCAGAGGATTAAACTTCGATCTGAATCCGAGCAGCCTCTTGCCTTGGGATCTAGAGCTGTTGCCTGGTGTCGACGTTAACGAAGTGGCATCGATAATCAAAGAGGCATACGTCGTTCCGAATGGCTCTTTCGTTGGAAATTTGGCTGCCGTTGTAGAAGTGAGTTCGTTAAAACGCGAAGTGTCTATTATTATTTATGTAGTTTTTAGGTATTTAATTAAAAATGAGACTAGCAAAGCATTAAATATCACTATAAGTTTTTTCTTGGGATCTTGGGATGCAGGTCTGGTTATTTGACTGGCAAAGACCAAATAATATATTTATTGACATTCCTTATAATAAAACATTCTATAAATTACATTCAATAATGACCAATACAATATAATGTTAGATACATTATACATCAGTTTGAAAAAAATTGTTGGAAGTCCCGTTTTTATCAGTTTTTTTTTATTAAGAAAACTCTTATCATGAAGTAGCTCGCAGTATATACGTGGTGTGTTCAAAAAGTAAGGTAACTGTTGGTTCACGTGTCCCAAACGTATGTCCACAGTTTCAGTCAGTTTGCAAGTCTGCTTTTTTTTGTGAGACGGAAAAGTTAGATCTGTTTTGTGTCGTCTGCGATTTTCTGCTGTCACAAAAATGGAACACACGATTTGGAATTTTTTTTTTGTTAAAAATGACACTTGAAATGTTGACAACGGCATATGGTGAATCAACTTTGAGCAAAGTCGTACGGTCAATAAAGAGTATTATCCAAAAATATTGTGCATTTATTGCTTTTACGTTTTAAGTATTTTACAATACCTTAACCACAGACCTGCGCATGACCGTGGCAAAAGCCATCCCAACTGATTTATTCTGTATTAAGTCTTCCCTGAGATGCACCGTAATGAATATTTGTAGAACCTTGTAATTTTCATTTGAAACGTAAATGGAGCGTATAAAATTTGATTAAACATTGCCGCTGCAGGATATTCCCGAATAAGTAGAAGCGTTTATTTTAATATCAGGTGGTCCATCTGTGAAAAACGAGTAATGCAAGAGAACAATTAGTGACGGAGGTGATCATTGAACTAGGTGAAGATAGTAGCGATAGTGACGATTTTTTAAGTGATTTGTTGAGTGAGTGAGTGATTATTATTATTGTATTTAATATTTTATATATTAATAATGATACCATGTAGAAATGTAATGAAATAGAACGTAATAAATAGATAAAAAATAAATATATTCCTAGGACGGTCCTGGAATGGTTGCGGTCAAGGGTCTGCTCTTCAGGGTATTCTATAAGGGGCTGCTGTTTTGGAGTAATAAACAGTAGCCAAAGTTAATCACGAGGTCGGTTCTAAAAACACAATATTTCTGGTCATGATATACCTTGAAGTTATGAGCCATTTGCGAGAAGCGATACGAAGAAAACACAACAGAAGTGCTCCGAGGATTGGAAAAAACGTTGGAATTTGAATGGCACAGCATTAATTTCGATAATTTGATAAAACTTAAAAGTCACCTTACTTTTTGAACACACCACGTATACATATGTAAGACGATTCACACGCATAGAAGCAGGGTTTAACAAAACATGAAAGAAGGGCGGAAACACATTGAATTAAAATAACTAAGCACTAAACGATACGAAATGGTGTGATACGTCAAAATATTTGGTTGTACTGGATATTAATACTTTTAATTTATAACGTTTTTCTTTTTTTGAATTTCTTGGATTTCCCGTATCTTGCATTGTTTTCGGATTTTAAAATTTAATCAAAAATCAAAGGAAGGAGTGTTTCGTTACAGCACAATGGCTTTTCGAGAGAGTTTTTCTTTTTTCTTTTCATATTTGTGACTATTTGATCCATTCTGTAGTGACTTGTCTGACTATTGCACAGTCAATGATAAAGAGTAAAGGTCATTGGTTATGAGAAAATAGTAACTACAAACGTTTTCAAGATTTTTAGGATGCACCAATTTTTAAGTACACAGGCTCAAAAAAGCGTGACAAATAAAACGTATATTGTTGTAAAAGAAAATTTGTTTTGAATTCGTTTTGAAATTCTTCAACATATTTTTTGTGAATAATACTTGAACCTAATAGTTAAAAATATCACCTCTCTTGAAATAATTTTAAATTGCGTATCCCAACAATTTTTAAAACTTTTGTATTATTTTGAGATAATGAACTTTACTCTACCTTTGACTCACCCTGTACTGTGGTTAATATTTCGGCCAGTAGAGTTATGTTTTATGTAGTCCTGAATAATAATTCGCTGGTACTTTATTCTTGAAGAAATGCCTAATAGACATTCTGGATATTTGGTATTAACAAACAATCTCAGTTGGCCATTAGTTCAGATTGAATCAATAAGTAAAATAAAGTGCATTTTTAAGGGATCTATCCAACAAATCAAAATCTAACCACAAACAAAAATTTTACAAGCTTACCCAGTTCATAAGTGGGACACACTGTATATAATTTTCCTCTTTTAATTATTGGGTACTAAATTTGACAGCAGTCAATGCATTTAATATTTCAACGTGTATTTTCAGTTAGTCAGCGACCAAATGTTCGTGAAATCAACTTTGAAGCAGGCCGAACTCCAATCGAACTTTACCCCCGTATATCTCTATCAATTTTCCTTCGAAGGTTACTTAACGTCGTTTCTTCCCTATATCGAAGGTAACTAACAGGTTGGACTTTTGGAGAATTAGTGATTCTAAAAAATTGCTTTAGGAACGGGAAGGGCTGGTCACGGAGAAGAAGATCCGTACATTTTTGCATCGATGCCGCTGCTGACGGATCGAGAAGTGTTGGTCAGCCAGCAGATGGTCAAACTATGGGCCAACTTCGCGAAAACCTTGTAAGTGTAATTTCCACAACTATCAACTGAAACAAACATTACAGTTGAAAAGGATAAGCAGACAATATTCTATTATAATAACAAAACGAAATTCTGTTCTTAAAATCGTTGGTGCTTCACATGTTTATGCGCGACTACCATTGGAATTTTCAATTGCCTTTTAAACCGATACCTTTTACTAGCTTTATATTTTAAGAAATACAAAAATGCACAAGCCATATCAAAATAGTGCCAATGGCTTTATCCGGCACCATGCATGAATAGTAAGGTTTCTTTGAAACTCCGGGATACCATGGATATGCCACCAGTAATACACGAAAGATTATTGACATTTTTGTTTGTTTTTAAACGATTTATTTCTTATAAATAATATCACAGAGCTATTAGCTACTACTAACCTACACTTTGCACTATTTTCCCTCTAAACAAAGATTTTCACAAACGATTTCATCGATTTTTCGAAAGTATACGCACTCCTCACTAAACTCGAGATTTCGGTAACGGTAGGTCCTACGGGGCCCCCATTGGTACGCAAATGATCAGCGTCGAAAAAAAATTATTTTGTCTGTCCGTTCTCCGTTTTCCATTCTCCGTTCGCTGTTCCAGAGTTTTTCGACGATAAGATCCGAACGGTTTGAGCTACATGCTTCAAATTTTGCTCATTTTTTACTCTCCACGGGATGCATAATATATGTAAAAATTGCTGCGTTCAAACTTCAGCGTCCATCTTTTTTTTGTCGATTTTCGACTGTTTTTTGGACGTTGCTATGAAACATGATAAGTGTCCGAAAATTGAAGCTCTCAACTTCAAGTTTGGCAGGCGAATTACGCTTGGTCCCCTAACGGAACCTATTGAAATGGGGGTGGGGGGCGAAAGTATTAAAAAAAAAATAAAAATCGCGTTTGTAACGGTCTAACAAAAAAATCATTTCCCGAAAACTGTTTATGCAACAGAAAAAATCTTGAACGAGAAGACGCACAAGATTTGGCTCCGAAAAATTTTATTCCAAAACTGTACAGGGTGGGCCGCATTTTCAAAACAACTAAAAAATGTGAAAATAGTGAAAATTGGCTATGACTAAAAGACAGTATTTTAGATATTAGTTTCTTTTACATGACAGATAAAACTTTTTTGTTTAAGGTTTTGTTCTATTGTAAAGGGTGTTCCCGATATTCCGTGTTATATAAGAAATGTCCTAAATTTGCAGATGTCGACTTTAAATTTAGCAAAGAAGTAAAAGTCCATGCCCACATTTAAACAGTGGAAATTTTGCGCAATCAAACTTCACCAAGTATTTTTTAAAAATTTATGTTTTTTTTTTGGTTATTTTGGGTTCCAGAAGAACATGCTCTTCTGCATAACCATTGACCGGATCGTCAAAATTCTTTAACCAGCAGACGTGGAAAATCCAGTGTTATAACATTTATTTTATGCATTTTTTCTATTATATGCAAGGTTTTCCAATTATAGACAAAAATCTAAAAGACCCAGAAAATTGTTCTTTTCCAGAATAAATTATTAATGGGAATCAAAAATCGTAAAAAATATAGCCAATCGGTTCAAACAGTGTCAAAGGCCACATCAAGGGCTACATTTTTTGTATTGACATTTTTCGTCACGCTGCTCTAGATACTTGAAAAAATCCGTACGAAAATCACTACACCTCGGGTTCAGTCAAGACGCGATGACGTCATTGATTATTACGGCGCACTGCATGGTTTCAGAAAAAAACAGGAAATGTGGGAGATCCAGGGCTATAACCTATATATCCAAAACTTTTTCAATTATGTACAGGGTGTGTCGATTATGGGCAAAAATTCAAAATGTCTCCGATATATAATTGCCGTTTTCGTTGGTTGAATTATTAGCCACAAATGAAAAACTATTAAACATAAGATAATTTGGTTGAAGCAGTATCGTGAATTATGTCGACAGAGAGTGTCGGGTCTCGTCTATTCTACAGGGTACGCGAGATACTTGAAAAAATATCATTGGAAATCATTTGAACAAATTTTTATATTTATCATAGTTTGCCGTGTATTTGAAGTTTAGCGATAAGTGAAATACTCTTTGCACTGGGTGTATGCACAATTTAATTATATCAATTTTGCGAAAGTTCTATTGTGGTCCGCAGGAGCGGGTTCTTTTTGAAATCTACTTCGCGCTACGAATTTGGCCCGCCCAGCGACGATTTTTCGAAAGCAATCTTGTTTTTCTAGGTTGGTGGTTAAATTCCGCAAAGTCATTGGTTATAAACGAGACTTTAAATCCCTCGCATGCCAAGCTGAGCACAGTTGCTTCATAAGTTCTTTTATTATCGGCATAGGCATGGTCAGTATACAGAGTCATTAAATTGAACGCCACTGATTTCTTTTAAAATAAAAATTGTACTTACAATCTCCAATAATTTCTAAAGAAATTTAATTTCTTGATTTTTTTCACTTAAAATTAAAAAAAATTCTCTGTATGGTTCTGTAGCTGCAGAATTTAATAAATTATTTGATTGGATCCTTTTTACTGAAAGAAAGGCTTAAACGTCATAAAAAACCTAGATATATTATGGCGACCTAATTAACCAAAATATTATTTCTCCATAGACAATTAGTGGCACGCCACTGATTTCCGTTAATAAAATAATGACACGCATTCATTTATGAGCAAATTTTTTTTTAGCCTGTGGCACGATTTCCTTTTTTAAAAAAATGCCAAAACCGTACATCGTATTGAAAAAATCAAGAAATAAAATTTCTGGTGCCACTGGTGCATTAAAAAAAAAGTGGTACACTAAGTAATGCCCCTTGATATATAATACATGTGCGCCAAGCTTCATTAAAATATCTAAAGTGGTTTTACAGATGTTAAAAAAATATATTCTATTTTTGAAAAAATTATCACCCTGTATATCGAAAGTTGAAAGGTTTGGGACATATTTTCATTTGAAGTTTTTTTTTAAACGGACACAAACATTATTGACATTTAATTTAATACATTTTTCCTCTGTCCAAATTTAAAAACACTTTAATCAACCTAACCTTATTTAGGTATGTGTTTTTTACGTAATAAAAAAAGTTTTTCGTTTTATGCCTAGGATTTCCTCTTACATTTAGCTGCTTTGGCAAACGAGTGATTGATATTTTATTATTGGAAAATAAATGCTTTCTCCTTCTAGTTGACATTTAGCTAATACCTAATTATAATTAGAACTATTAGATACAAACCTCTTGACCAGAGACTGCATGGCAATAAAAGCTTTCCTTGCATACCTAGTAATGCTAAAATATTCAATAATTTTGTCTATAAATACTCTAGATAACTATAATTAACCTGAAATGTTCTATACTTAGTTTACAGGATATATATGGGTGCTAAAAAAATATTAATGGCGACTTTTGACAATCCAAATGTGTCTTCGAAAATTACAATAGTGCCAACTGTCAATCGCGAAAATACCAACGTTATTTTAAAGGCAAAATATAGAGAAAAATACCGTTTATGGAAAATTCCATACGTCTCCGACAAACTCCATTCTTCTTTACCAGATCAAAATAATTTATTTTATACTAGCATAATATATTTTATTTTAATGGTCCTTATGGAGCAACTTAATTTTGATACTTTTCGAAATACGCGCATTGGTATTTTCAGGAATCCCACTCCTGATGCATCGGACCCGCTGTTCAACCTCACGTGGCCGCAAGTGACCCCCACCAACATTCAATATTTGGACTTTGACGATCAGATCGCGTTGAAACCCAACAGAAAGGAAAAAGAAATGGCAATGTGGAATTACGTCTATTACACTTACGGTCAGCAGCCTTTCAAGGGATTTTAAGTTGTGCTGAAAGTAAATTACAAATTAGCTATTACATGTGTTTTATTCTTCTTCGAATGCCATTCATCATTCTTCAATGATGAATGGCATTTGCAATAATCTCAGCGAACCTCTATCCTGGGCAGTTCGAATTTACTACAAAAATGGCGGGAAATTCAAATCTTGTGTTAATTTTGGCTTACAATGGTAGCAGTAATCAACCATTATCATCATCTTTGCATATATAATTTGCCAGACGGTGATTCATGTAAAGAAAATAATACCCACAAAATAAATTCAAGAGTGCAGAATTACGATCCTTTTTTGAATAAATATAATCAATAAAAAATAACAAAAACACCATCTTGTGTTTGGTGATGGCTACTGCATCGACTGTTTCGTGGTTATTATCACATCCTGTATCATTCCAACACAAAAACTCCCTGGTTCCATATTCAGCAATTCCTTTACCATTCATTCTTGTTTTTCAAAACGCCTCTTCAGTTTTCTCTAACATGTTAAAATATTCATTTTTTTACTATTCTGTTCCGAGAATTTGTACAGCTTGTACTGTTCCTATTCCAAAAATGACATTTTTTTCTCGTCTTTATCGGTCCTTTCCTAAAATTCTCCGTCTTTTCAAATTTGTTACCAAGTGTTTTTGCAAATGAACTCCACAATGAAAGCAAATATTATTGGGAATGCATGGTGGCCTTTCTGATTGACGTACCATTTTTAAAGTTTAGTTCTCGTTATCAGTAAAGATCCATCAATACTGAGTGCCTGATAAATAGCCGAGCACGCCTTTGTCACTGATACTTCAAACTGATGATTCATTAGTTGTTTTGTGAAATATTAAGCGTTATATTTGAATATTGCATAACCCAATTCTTATTATCGAAGTAGAGGTGACCCTGTATATTTTTTAATGTTCTTTGAGCCTAGTTGACATTTTTGGACAGGCAATAAATCTGGTTTTGATATTATATTTCTTGCGTTCTCATTGTATTTGGAAAGTTGTGCTGAAGGTATTTTATGAATGTGGAAATGATTAGAGAGAAGAGCAGATGTAAAGTGTTTTAGTTCTTGTGGCAGTGATTCGAGTTGAGGTAGTTTTAGGGATCTGTAAGCCCGAGAGTTGATAACGGATGATTTTTGAGCCTCATGGTGATGCCTGTGTGCGTAGGTTTTCTCTAAACAAAAATTTTCCTATTGATAATTCTAATTCAATGAGAAAACTTTTGTTAGGGTGCATAGAATTTAAATCTTGGAAAAATTCTTACCGTGAGGCTAAATAATAAAAGTATCATCAAGGTAGCTTGTCCATAATTTTGATTTTAGATGGGGTCTACGTCGAAACTGGCAAAAGTATCGTTTGGATTTAAATTAGTGGCTTTTAGTTGTTCCATGAAATAATGAAACGAATTGAATTAAGTACGAATGAATGAAATGAATCAGTTGGAATATATTCGAGAACCAGTGATGTTGGCAGTAGGTCGAAGGGTAATCCTGATTTGTGAATCTTCACTAGTCCATAGAGAGAGGAATTTGAGAGTCATGAGGGGTGACAGACATTTTCACGGATTCTAATAGATAAGAAGCCTTAATAACAGATTTAGGGTTGCGATCCAAAGATGACGTAGGATCTTTTTTAATTAAGATCCGCCTGAAAGAATATCTTTACTTTTTTCCTGATATTCACTTGGGTTCATGACCACCGTATCTAGTTAAAGAATTCCGATGTCGGTATTTATTTTAGAGATTTTAAAGCAATTCGTTAGGCTTTTTGATATTAGACTTGGGAATTTACGATTTTATCAAACGATTGTGAACGGTTATGATGATACGAAATGCAAAAATGTTCGCTGATAAAGAGAAAGATGACATCTAATCAGTGTCCTTATAAATAATATAAAATCAGAAACTGTCAGTACCATCCCACTAGTGAAAACGAAAATGCGTCGACTTCTGAGTTTGATATTTGTTTCAGTCGCGGTAAGTCATATAAAACAATGGCATTTTATGCTTAAAATTCATCTCAATATATTTTGTTTTAATTATATAAGTTTGTACCTATCCCGGAAATTTAAAATAGCTTAGACTCAATATACATAATGTAAAATACGTGGTATTAAAAAATCCAAAAGGAAATTAATAATGAAATGTGATTTTGAAATACAGCAATTTTGCGAAATATTTATATTGCTTGTTGGTATGTTTGGTATTTAAATTAGATCTCTAAAACTGTTGTTTCAATATATCCTGATAATGTTCCAGAATTGACAACATTTTCTATTTTTTTTAAAAGTCATATTGCAAAAAAGGAATGGTTGGAGTTTTGATTGCCGTTCGAGTTGGTGGTGACATTTCAAAGTTCTCCACTTACACAATTTCAATTAAACTTTATTTTAACGTTTGTTTTTAAAATTTGGATTTTCCTATTATCAGATTTTTGAAATATTTTTGTTTTGGATCTGACTCAGAGAGCGATACTCATGTTTTTGGGCACGCTCGCCTAGCATCTCCTCAGCAGAATAAACATTGCATGGTGCTGAATTAAAACTAAAGTTACCTCATATTGAGTGAACAGAAAAAGAAAATTCGCGTGCCTTTATATATTGAGTGTGCTTAAAGTATGATGATTTTAAATTAAATAGAATTTCTAAAATGTTTTTACTAACAATTTTTATAACTTATGTATTTAACATTTTCCCATAACTTTTGAAATCAATATATAATATATACTTTTCAAAAAAGTTCAGTTTTAATTAATTAAAATTTTCCCTTATTGAACAATGGGGTTTAATACAAAAGGTTGCAAATTTTTGCTTACACTTTTCCCTTTTACACGTATGTCTTAGGCTCAAAGCAATTTATTTTGTTAATTAATAGAATTGTGTCGTATAGCAACGTATTAATATTTGTAACCATATAATATTTGAGGCATTAGATAAAATTTAATTCGTTCAACTGGCATTCAGTGTAGTTGGTATTTAATTCGGATCCAAATTTAAAATATTTTCGGTTTCAATAATTGTTTACCTTTTTGTTGTTAGTTGGCCTTCACTTTAATATTAAATTATCTCACCTTTCCGGATGGCTATGACATCATTACCTCCAATGGCAGACGCGCTTTTGTTCTATATTAACCGTTCGATGAAAATGTGTTTTTTTAAACAAGCCATAGTTATCTACGTCGGAAGTTTTGTTGTTGCTTTAACAGTAAAAACGCACATTAGGATGTTGATCTATTAAAAACTAATTTTCGTTTCAAGTTGGCAGCCGATTTAATCGTCGACCTCCCCGATGGTACAATCAGGGGATCCGAAATCACCTACGATAACAAGAGTTACTACGCTTACCGAGGAATTCCCTTCGCTGCCCCTCCGCTGGGAAAACTAAGATTTCAGGTAAAATATATCTAATATACTAATACTTTTATAATTCTGGATACTTGATTCGTAGTTTTACAACATGTTTGAGTCATTTTTTAAATAAACTTGACTTGGTTTTCTATTTAATTTGGAATAATTTCCCAACTCACCATTTATTAAACTGAGGCGAATTTTACTTGGTCAATTATTATTTAAAAGGCTTCTAGATTCCTTCTGCTAGAGAAATTACCGTAATTAAAATGAGTAATGGAGCTTACTGGCATTTCGGAAAAAAATTACTAAGAAAATATAAGTATGCATAGCTTCCCAAAGAACCGCTAGAAAATGAACTACACATCAAATCTAATAAAGAGACTCTACATATAACTGTAAAGATACATTGCTTTATTTTACTTGTAGTACAGATTCTTACAAATCTATATAGTAATTGTGTCCTCAACACAGTCTTGATTGTTTTAAACTACACAGTCGTTCACAAAATAATACTGACAACAGCTACAAACGTAGTAAATACCTTGATGGGATGATAACCTTAACCTTAACAAGTACGTTATAACAAATGTGTCATTTGAAGTAATCGAATTAAGTTTTATTACCGCTTTATTAATAAAATAAAAACATTAGATGTTCGATTGTGCTGCCACCATATGGAAAATTTGAATCTTAACGTGTCCTGGAGATGCGGCGTTGCCGAGGTTTACTAATTTCTGGTGGATTGATTGTAGCAGTGAGAGGACGGCACAATATCGATGCTGCTGATGATGATAACTTAGTTAACATTATACGAAGTTTAAGTGGGGTGTAAAACTACTAAGTTTTACGGTTTTAGCAAATTACATCCACCGTGAATGCGTAAAGCGAAGTCTGTGGATATCGGTAAAAAAAAAACAGCATATCCAAAATAACAAAACATCGATGAATAACTTTGATTTAAGTCGCCCAGTCATAGAACTAAATTTGGGATAATAGCTGACAATAAGTAACAATAATTACGATTATAAACTCTATAGAGTACATCATAGTCAAAATTTCTCAAAACAAAAAGCAATAATTTCCATGCAAAATATAATTTGTGATTCTAGATCATTAAAAAGTATTTGACGTTTCGACGACATTGTAGCTGCTGAAATGGTTGTGTAAATAGAGAAACAAATTTGTTCTCGCGACGAATTTTATATAGCTATTATATAGTTATATAATATTATATTTTTTTATATAACTAATTTCAAACGCAGTTTAATTTTGTCGGTATGTCGTAAGGAACAAAACTGATTAATTCAAATCGCCATGTTTTTTATTGTTGATATGGAAATGAACCATCTTATCATAAATAGGCAAAATCACATTAATATCGATGAAGTTTCAATTGTACCTTCGGATTTGGAATTCAGAATGTAACAGAACGATACACTGTTTTTTTAATTTTATTAGGAACAAAAAATGTTTAAACGTAATTTCCGTTTGTTTTTAAATTTTGGTAAGGGTATTTTTTTTAGTCATAAAATTGTATATAAAGTGATTAGATACCTATTCAATTTAAGTGAAAAATTTGTGAATTTCATTAAGGCACTAGCAACCAAATAATCTTGGAAAGCATCATAAGAGCATTTAACAAATCATTTTTGTCGGTATTGGTATCCTATAAAAAT